TCCCCCCCCCCCCCCCCCCTCTTCTCACCCTCCAACATGTCTTTCTTTATCATCACCCGAAACCGGCACCATTCCATAATGAAGAATCAAACGATACATAGGCCTTATTGTTTTAAAACTTAAGAATGTTGATTGGTGATGCCCAGAGAAGATTGGAGCACTTCATAGAGCCTCCATCCTCATAATTAAAGGATGCATGGCCTTCAATCTGCAAGAGGTACTCCATTTTTATACACATGGGTGATGAACCACATCAAGAGAGGATAGAAGTGTAACCAAAGCTGACGAGAATCAACCCAATACTTTTGCCAATTGTTCTTCCCTACCCAGAGTCTCCGATTAATCCATTGGAACATTTTGTTCCCTCTTCTTCTGTTTCACTCATTTGGTCTCTCTTTATTAACTCTCCTTATGAATAACAAGCACTTGGAGCATGCAGGGCCATGTCAGTACACAAACCCACACGCCACACAAAAGCTGACACGTCTCCAACTCCTTCACCAGACTTGTGTATTTAAGGGTATGTTTTCCAAGAATCAAGTAACTGGGGCAAGGCAAGACATACACCTAAACCCCCTCTTTTTTCACCTAGTATTTCACTACCCATATTAAACCAAGATACTGATTTAGGTATCGAAGGCCCCCCCACCAGCACCCTGCTGATGGCCCCCCTGACCCATTTCGCTGTCTCGCAGACCATGAATGGTTGGACACTCATTGCTACAAGCATACCAGATTTCGGCCTCAAAATCAATAATCGATAGAAGCTTTGGATGGTGAAGGGTATTCCCCCATCATCTTTCCAGCGAACAACTACTCATCTCTTATTTTCGATAAATGTCGTCACCATCAGCTCATGGTAATAATCTCAACAGTGCATAATTTGGACAGAAGTGCAAAATTTCTTCCTGATGTATTTTAGAGTGAGGAAGCTGGTCTTTTCTTCATGGGATGACATGACAAGCAAAGAACAGCAAATACCAGGAATATACTTGGTAAATGAGAGCTGTAGAGGCAGCATCCTAAACGTCGAAGGAATGGGAGCATTATTCACTGGTATGAGCTTATAAAAGAGAAGTAAAAGAAGAGCAGATACCAGGGAGTACCTGGAAATGGGAGCTGTTCAGGCAGCATCCTATACGCCGGAACAATGGGACCATGATCTTTTCAAACTCTGCTGTGTTAATCATTTCCAGAAGCTCTTCCAACTCACTTAAGAACATCAATTGCTTCTGGCTATTTGTTACTGGCCAGTATCTTAATAGTCCCTTTATCACAGAAGTGGTCAACTTTGGCTCCTTTTCTACAAACTGTACGATACAATATGTTAATTGCTGGTGATAAATACCCACTGATTTTGGTTTGTGAAGAGGAATCAGATTCCTCCACAAAAACATCTTATGTTCCTCCTTCAATGGTAAAGCAAACCCACTGATTACACTCCCAAAAACCTCCAAAAGCTCAGCCATTCCATTATGCCGTTCTGTTTCAAAAACAAAACGATAGATGATATTGCTCACAGCCTTCCGGATAAAAGGCCTGTGCACCATGAACTTCCCATAAACTCGATGCAGAATTGATTTCAAACAATCTCTTTCTCGTGGATCTTCTGAATCAAAAAGGTCAAGTAACCTAAGTACAAAAGAATGATCTACATATTTTTTCGCTACTTTTGCATCAAGGGAACTATGATCTATAAATCTAAGGAGCAGGTCATACACAAGCTGTAAATGTGACCAAGCAGGATCAAACACAGGTTCATCAACTTCATTTTCACCACGAGCAGAATAGGAGTGATACTTGGGTGGGAAATCCCTAAAGAGGTTAACCGCGCACATTTTACACATAGCATCAACTGCTCGCTCAGACAATTTTGCAGATTCAGAAGCAACAAAATCAACAAGCTCTATTAGTATTTGACGTTTAACATCTTTCTCTGTGGAGTTCTCATCTTGATCACCAAAATCATATACCGAACAGCAGAGGTTCAACTTACTGATAAACAGGTTCTGCTTCTCCCAGTTTGAAACATCTTTGAATGGTAGATGGGGCTCCACCTCCTCCACTCCAGCTGTGATGCTGGCTGGGAAAATTGCTGAAGACATCCGTTTCACTACATTCAGTCGGCTCGAAATAACACTGCAACTATTGGTAAATTGGATTCCACTGCCCAAGTCGGCAGTGCTGCTGCAGGAAGTGCTCCCACCAGAATCTGATGAGTCGGATTTTGATGACTTCCGAGGAAGTTTTGCCAAAATTTTCTTTAACATAGTCGCAATCCTCCAATGTGCAGTTAATGCTAAACCTAAGCCAATATGAACAATCAGTTTGATACAATGAGGGAAAAACATAACGAAAAAAATGACGACGAAGTAGAGAATAAGATTAATGCAGTTTAGTATTCTCTTGGACTAAAAAGCAGACCTAGTCCACCTAGACAACCCTCAAGTTTAATCACGCATACATATTTCATTTCAGCAANAAAAAATGACGACGAAGTAGAGAATAAGATTAATGCAGTTTAGTATTCTCTTGGACTAAAAAGCAGATCTAGTCCACCTAGACAACCCTCAAGTTTAATCACGCATACATATTTCATTTCAGCAAAGAAGTCATTTCCCAAGGATAGGCTATAGAAATAAATCCATGGCAGCAAAAGAAGACATGCTAAGACACTTAATTCTCGAAAAATAAAATCCTCAGCGTAAATACTTTAAGAATATGCAGCATGTCTGCCCATATTACTCCCACATTTAGAAAGGATTATTAATCCTTCCAAGTGATGCTGTGTGAAATTTTGCTAATAAAATCTGTACACTACTTTCATCATGTAGTTACGTAAAACCTAGAAACAAAAAAATGATACAAATCCATGGAAAATCATAAAAAAAAGGTGATGGAAGCAAAAGAATAATTAAGTTGGAACAAAAAGGACAATTCACAATGGACTTCAGTAAAAGTCGATCCCAGAATCCTATTGGAGAAACCCGAATGGACATTCTTCTTCCCTTCTTCCGCCAAATAAAGGTGGTTTGTCAATGAGAATTTACACCTCTCAAAATGAACCAGAAACATCCTTTTTCTAACTTAGACACACCATTTGTCAGCATATAGATGTGGCATAAACTTGCATTCTGTCAATGTTTTGTAAACTAACTACTGCAACATAGACGCATGCCCTCTCACACATGAGACAAGCACATTTAAGAATTGCAGCCCTTTTGGTGTCATCTATTACCAATACCCACATTAGTTCTCCTAATTTCATTTTGTTGTAAAGCAAACCAACCACTTTAGAGAAATAATTTGGAGAAGCCATGCCCATTTGGGCAGTAAAGTTATCAAATTGCCACCAACAATACCTGGCGGAGGGCAAACGCAGATCAGGGGTTCTACAGAAAATGTATGCATACATCTATCCACCCCCACCCACCGACCCACCGACACACACACAAACACACTGAAAACACATACATGTATGCGTGGATTACAGATCTGGAACAATAATGAAAACTGGATGAGGAACTATCACGGATCTACAACTTACTGTAACAAAATCCTTATTTTCTTAGTGAACACCACACAACATCAAAATCAGGAGACACTGGCGAAGAAAACCCAGCTCATCCGAATATAATTCCAAAATTATGGACTAAGCTATCATTTTCACACTGTAAAATTAGAGCATTGAGGCAGATAAGTTTACGTGACCCCAGATTTTATGTAAACAAAAATGGGGAAAAAAAAAAGAAAGAAAATCCAGAGAAATAGATGGTAAAGTACCTGGGTTTTCTGGGACTCACAGACCAAAATGGAGTTTGATTCCTGAAAAAGAAAATCAGGGAGATGAACCTATGAATGAGGGATTGAGAGGTCAATCAATCACCATTCTTTTTGCTTGTGATTGAAGACACAATGATGAAGTTGGAGGAGCCCATTTGGGGGTATCAAAAGAATACGATGTTTGTGATTGATGGCATTGTCTTTGTTTTAAACTTGAACTTCGTTTATGTTCACCAACCAGTGGGTACTATGACTTCTTCTTCTCCATTACTATTCAATAAGTGAGTTTTCTCGATTACAGTGCCAGCATAGGTGGCATTTTCTGTGAATTGCAGGCACCCACTGGCCAAGCCAGGCCAGTGATAAGTGTTAATAACATGAAGCTATTTGATTTGGACAATTGTAAGATGTTTAGTATTGTCCCAGATTAATTTTAGCATAGCAATACTATATCAAAAATAAATACCATATCAAAAATAAATTATATTATTTTAAAGGTCAAGTTATACATTTAAAAATGTAATTATAATTGTTTGAGGTAATTCATGATTGATAGTAAAATATTGTGATCAATCGAGGATTATTTCAATCATTATAATTTTTTCTTTATGAGTTGTTGTACTTGACTTTTAAAGGTAATAACTCCACTTTTAAAAGTGACGGGTCTCGCCTATACTAAGCCTAAATCATGCCAACATTACAAATCATAGGCTCAAAGCAAGCCCACATCATAGATACATACTAACAAAGGCTTGGTCACAATTCTAATTGGACCAAGCCCACCTTCTTGAAAGATCCAGCTCATCATCAACACACGTAGGAATCTTCATTTGAGAGGAAATTCATAGGGACACAATCATCGGGGGCACATCGTTAGTCTCGCGAAATCACATCGCCTGTTATGAGAAAAGACGAGCTTCAAAGAATTATCCCGCTATCACCTTGCCCATTGTGAGGATTAGGCAAATTTCACAGAATTAGTTACGAGGATAGTGCCTCAATTAGAGCCCTTCGAAGCCAATTTCACTTGCCTATAAATTATAAGCCCCGCCTACACATAAAGGACATCACTCACTTCTAAGTACTCTACACTCTTTGAGCAACAAAACACTCAGGCTCAATGTTATTAGAACCGGACAGGACATCGAACTGGTTGAGAGACCGGATCAATGATTCACTGGTTCAACCACTGGATCAACCGATCGGACCGGTCTTATAATAAAAAAATAAAATAAAATAAAATATAATAATTTTACTAAAAAATTCATAATCACAATAAAAAAAATAAATAATGTAATATGTGTGTGGTGTACTAAAGTGTACTATATGTGGTGTAATAAGTGCACAGGGTAATGGGTATTGGTTTCATAGCACTCCAAATCCGACAAAACCCCATCTTCACACGTTCTTTTAGACCTTCATTTTCACTTTCAACATCATCACTCTGTTTATCGAGATAAGCCACAGTCCCATCTACACTTATCACTAGCTTCTCATCCTCTCTAAGCTTAACATCTCCAAAGAGAGAAACAAGGAGTGAGCATATGATTTTCTCTGCTTACTTCTCATTTTCTGCTTTCTTCTATAACTGTGTGTGTGTGCGTGTGTAGACAAAAAGAGAAAGAGAGAGAAAGAGAAAGACAATACCCATTACCCAGCATCTCTTACTTTTCCCCTTTCTCTTATGAAGCAGCTCAAGCCAGCGAAGTGGAGTGAAGAAGAAGAAGGTGACCATCTTATAGAAATGGTAGTAGAACCGGCCAGTTTGACAAAAGCATCCAGTTCACGATTTTTTATCAAAAATCGGTCGGTTTGACGTTTTACTCCGGTTTAATTGTCTAGGCAGTTTAATTCAAGAACCGGACCGGCTGAGGTCCTGGTTCATGGTCCAACAGGTCGAAATCGGCGGGTCCAGTCTAGTTCTGATAACATTGCTCAGGCCACCGTATCCCTTCACAGTAGAGTAGGTCACCCTAACTGAACTACTTAATTTTATGTTTGCTTGCGTTAAGTTTCTTTCTTAATTACTACATTAAATATTTGACAGGTGGTGCATAAAAATATTTTGTGCATCATCAGTTTGACGTCATATATGAGAACGACTTAATTTTCACCTAATTATTTTTGCGTGTTTATGGCTGTTACGACTAGATCCATGAATCAACAAATAGAGGATGATCAATAGCACCAAGAGGAGGTCATGCCCCTACTAGCAAATCCCGTCTCTAAACCACAACAAAAGTTGCTAGAAATTATACAACCGTTGGTGAATCAAAACTAGCAAATCTTCTAGTTGATGTTCGCCGAACACCCTCAAAGGGTCGTGCCCTAGCACCCAAGAGGGGAATCACTCCAGGAATTGAGCCCAGGGCGCCAAGGTACCCTCTTGCAACACCAAGGCACCCCTTAGTGCCAAGGCGCCCCTCTTTAGTTCCAAGGCACACTGGCTTCCCCTCTTTGCGTGCCGACTCCGTCCTTCCATGCTAATGACCATCTTTTTCAAGAAGACAATGGGAAAAACCAGTATGTGGACCAAGAGAGCCATTACAATGACCATTCGGAAGGTATCTCCAACCACTAGGACAAAAAAATCAAAAAAAGGTAGAACTAACTCAGCGATGTCTTCAACGCCATGAAGACGCAAGGGTCTGAAATAGTCAAGTACCTTGTAAGGCGTACTGACATGCCCTTTGTAGCTGATTTGACCAACTATCCTTTTTTCTCAAGGTTCAAGATGCCAACTGTGGAAGTTTTTTATGGCTCCAAAGATTCACTAGACCACCTTGACACCTACAAATCCTTCATATAGTTGTACAACATACCAAACGAGATCATGTGTAGGGTTTTCCCTACCACCCTCAAGGGATCTGCTCGCTAGTAGTTCACCAAGCTTACCCCGACTTCCATTAACTATTTCGCTGAACTAAACAAGTCTTTCGTGTCACACTTCATTGGGGACGCCAACACCAAAAGCCTACCACCCACCTGCTCAGCATCAAGTAGGACCAAGATGAAAACATAAGTAATTATCTTACTCGTTTTAACGATGAAGTCCTCCAGATTGAAAAATCAAATGGCAAAGTCGCCCTGGCGGCCTTCACATAAGGCTTGCACTAATCCGATATTATATTTTTAATTTTGAAGCGTCCACCAAAGAACATGTTAGAATTACTATCAAAAATCAAAAAATACATGAACGCTGAGAATGTCGTTAAAGCCAGGTTAACTGAGTCCTCACATATAGGGGAAATAACAAAAATGTAGAGACAATCCTAGCTATTTTAGAATCAGTATTGATGGTCAACAACTACTGCTTGCATCATTGTGGACGTTGAGTAACATGGTTTCTGTCATTGCCATCTGCGCCCTTGCTATCATGCAAACGCCCTAGCTATCATGTTTTCCACTTGCTTGACTTTTTAATATAATCCTTTAAAATTCTCCCCATTATTCAACAAATCTTCCAATTTGCTACCCATTGTTCCTCACCTTTTTCTCCACCTTGTTAAAAAAATATTCCAATAAGATAATTGCATTTTATTTCCACAAAGTTTTGAAAACGATGGGTCCTCCATTATTGCCGAATTCTCCACCCAAACCAAGACCACTCTCTCGCACCCTTAACGTTGCGTCTGCGTGCTCTGCTCCCGGCACTCGCACGCCTCCTGTCAGTGCCTTTTACTCTAGGCGTTCACACTCCTTTGCTCTAGGTGTCCGCCTCCTCACCTTAGGTGCCCTCACCTTAGCATCTATCTCCTCGTATCTGGCGCCCTCACCCTTAGCATCTACCTTGCACGTCTTGGCATCTCCTTCCTCCTCTCTATCTCTTGGGAATGAGTCTCCTAAGTAGCCAAAAACTCGATCAAACTCTGTCGCATCTCTCACGTAAGCAACCTTAGTCTCCAACTTAGTGGTGCTCTTGCCACTCGCCAAAAGCTCGGCCTAACTCTGTCTTTACTTTCACGCAAGCAACCTTAGTTCTAGTTTAACAACTCTCTCGCGAGTCACCAAAAGCTCCGCCTAATTCTACCTCTACTCTTATATAAGTAGCTCAGTCTCCAACTTAGCGGCTCTCTCATAATTCATCAAAAGCTCGGCCTACTCTACCTGTGGTTTTGCGCAAGCAGCCTTCGTCCTAGCTCCTAATGTAGCAACTATCTTGTGAGTCGCCAAAAGCTCGGCCTCAAGCAATTCTCACTAGCCACCCTCAGCTCCTCTTCTACAGCCTGTTGTGTCTGTCTCTCCCTCATTAGAGTTCTCAATACTTACTCATGCTGGTTAACCCTCACAAATGTCCCTCATCAAAGTACCTTGAGAGTTATGATTTCATCCATTTAGAATGAAGGTTGTTCTCTCCCACGAATAAAACATGACACATGAAAATTCTATTTATTTACTAATTTGTGGTTGAAATTCAAGTTCAGTGGAACAGACGTTTTTTAGGGAAATTCAGTACCCAAACCACCATAGGAAAAAAATCATGGCCATTCAAAGTTTTACCTAGAGTAGACCTAGATCACATATGCAGAGAGATGTTTGCCTAGAGCAGACACAAAGGCTCAATCATAATTCCAATTGGGTCAAGCCCACCTTTCTGAGAGACCCAGCTCATCATCAGTACACGTGGGAATCTCCATCCGAGGAGAAAGAATTCGTAGGGAAGCTGTTATCTGGGGCACATAGCCAGTCTCGCGAGATTATCTCACTTGTTATGAGATAAGTTGAGCTTCAAGGAATCACCCCGCTATCACTTTGCCCGTTACGACGATAAGGCGAGTTTCACAGAATTAGTTATAAGGATGACGCCTCAATCAAAGCACTCGGAGCCAACTTCACTTGCCTAAAAATTGTAAGTCTTGCCTACACTTGGGGGGCATCACTCATATGTGAGCACTCTACACTTCCTGAGTCATAAAACACTCAAGTTATCGTAGCCCTTTGTAGTGGAGTAGGTCACCCTGATTGAACCACATAATTTGTGTTTGTTTGTGTTGAGTCTCTTTCTTAATTACTATATTAATTACTTAACAGGTGGTGCATAAACACATTTTTTGCATCATCAAAAAGGAGTAATTTTCATGATCGATCATAAGTCATACCTTTTTGAGTTTTATCCTATACCTTAAAAAATTGTAACTTGATCTTAAAACCTTTTAAATTTTGGGAGATACTGTAGTCTTCCTCTTAAATTTATTGAGAAAACTTCAGTTTGAGACTATAACTATTAATGAGTCGTGTGATGTTCGATTCATGTTTTTAAGTACGTTTTNACCCAGCTCATCATCAGTACACGTGGGAATCTCCATCCGAGGAGAAAGAATTCGTAGGGAAGCT